GGGCACGGGATAGACAGCAGGTTCAGGGTACTAGTGACACCAACCTGAGAGTTCTAGAATTGGCCATCAGGGCAGCACTAAGCATCTCTAGCAGACTTCCCAAGGACAGATGACTTCTGGGTCCTGTTCCCTTACAAAGGTGACTTGCTAAAAGGGGGGGCGGGGGGGAGGGAGATGTAGAAAGTGAGGAGGAGTGAGCGGAGAAAACAGAAGTTGGGGCCTCTTCTGGTTCCCCATGCTGGGGCTCTTCCTGGGCACCTCCTAACCCTAACCCTCCTAGAGGAACCAGGGTCCTGAGCATGGGGTCCTTGAGCAGGCCCTTAACTACTCGCAGCCAAGAAACAAACCTTCCCCTCAAACCCTTTATCTGATGACCCAGGGGGAGGCCCCTCCCTCCCCAGCCCTGCGGGGTCCCGCCTCAGAGCCTTGCTCAGGCCCTTGTCTCCTCCAACCTGCCCTTCCCTCTTCACTGCTGCAGACCCAGTTGGCCTCATCACCCCTGCCCAGGGGCCAACTCGGTCAAGGAGAATCCTTGGTTACAGACTGAACTGCTAGGGTGGGAAGGACCGAGTGGGGCTGTCGCTCCTTCCCTCTGCTCTACTTCTGTGGCAGGAGGTGCCACAGGCCACTTGAGACTCTATAATGGAGCTCCACGGAGGCCTGAGAGGGCAATGAGGGGCCTGGCATAGGCCCCTCTCAAATTTCACCCCCATTTCCAGTCAGTTTCTGTTTTTGATTTCTGGGTCTCCTGGGTTAAAATGCAGGTGCCATTTTAAGCTTTTAACACTTGCTGCTTCAGTAAAGATGACTGGATAGGCGCCTAGGCCCAGGACTGGGCCGGCCAGTGGTAGGGGAGACAGAAAGAGGGGCCTTGGGACAAATGTGCTGAGACTCCCCCATCCCAAGCAGACCCATGCCCCCACCCCCTGCTCCCCCAGGAGCTGCCCAGGGGTGCACTGGGGCTTCTCAGGGCCCGGAAGTAGCGGTGGGCAGCCCGCTACCACCTGTGGGCAGTCTTTCAGGGCCTGCAAGAGGATGGGTCTCCCAGCTGAGTGCCAGCCAGGACCACCTGAGAAAACCATCCCCGGAGGGAGGCCCAGGCCGGTGGGCAGAATCTGAGCTGGGAGCCGGGATGCTGGATTCATCACCGGCCCCTGCTCTGGTGGGCCCCACCGTGGAAGAGCCCTATTTTAGAGCCAGAATGGTTGAGGGGCTCCTCTCAGGGGCCTCAGCCAGGCCCCTGCATGCTATCAGGCAAGAGACAACATCCCAGGGCTCTCCCAAGCCCTGGAACCTCACCCAGACCAGGCCTCCCTGCAGGCCCAAGGCTTAGGAGACTCAACTTCTAGGCCCAGCTCCTCCTCGACCTGGGGAAGGCACTTCCTTTAACTGCGTCTCCAATTCCTTGTCACTAAGTTAGGGAATTGGATTAGGTCTGCAAGGCCACAGTTTTTCTAAGAGTAAATATCTTTGAAATAAATGCTTAAGCAGATCTTGAATTGATCAAACTATGAAAGTGTGAGCTGAGGGCACAGATCCTCGTGAACCCTCTGCAGAGGTGGGAACAGACGGCTTGTAGGTCCGAGGAGGGCCTGGGAGGCAGCTTCTCCCATCACCCTGATCTCTCAGTGCCCCCTGTCCTCCAGCAATCAGCAAGCCTGCACCTCTCCCATCTCAGTCCTCCACTGCCCACTCCATCCCGGCCACCAGCCCTGTCTCCCGGCCACCACTGTGGCCTCTTGCTTCTGCTTCTGTCCCCCCTACAGTTTGTCACCCACATGCCCCAAATCCGCATCAGCCACCACTCTGTACAACCCCCACCTGTGGCCCCCTGGTCACTCAGAATACTCCCCAACGCCTCCTCGCCACCCACTTGGCCTGCTGTCCTATCTCCTACAGCCACTCGGGTCTCCTGGCCTCAGGGTTCCCAACACACCAACTTCCATCCCTCCAGGGATTTGCCTCCCACTTCCTGCCAGCCTCGGCTAAACGCCACTTCCCTGGGGTAGCTTTCCCTGACCACCGGCTCCAGGCGTCCCTCTGGGTCCCCACACCCTTACCCCGACTGTCTGTCTCCGCTTGAGAACAAAGTGCAAGCGTGCGGGAGCGTGGGTTCACGCTGGCCCCCCTCATGCAGACACTATTTGTTGAAGGAAGGCAGAGCCTGGAAGAGAGGGTGCAGGCAGCCTCTGCATTTCCTTCTCTGAGGCCAGTGTTTTCAATAACAGGTAGACAGCGCTAGCTCGCCAAGAGCCTCTGATTCCTATTTCGGGGGCCAACACCCAAGTGACATCATTCTGGCCCCTGGGTGCCATCACCCTGGGTACCCAGGAAGTTCTAGGAAGCTTTCCCAGGAATCCATCTCTGAACTGGCTGCTCAACCACCCAAGGGGCCGAGGGCGCCCTCCCCCACCCCCCGAACATCCATCCCTCCACCATCGAGGAGGGGCGGTGGGAGCGGGCGAGAAAGACGAGCTCAGCTCATCTGCAGGGTCCCGAGGCGGCCTGGGGTTGGGGTGGGGTCGCGCTCCCTGTCATCTCTGGGCTCCATGACACAGGAGGGGGGTACAGCCCAGGGAACAGGCTGGAGTGGGGTACACTGAGAAGTGCTTTTGAAAACTTGAGAGTAAGAAGATGGGGCTCCAGAGGGAGAACAGGGAGAAAGTGGAGGGAGGTCGCTGCCCCTGAAGCTCAGGTCTATGTGCCTATGGGACGGGCCACCTCCGCAGTCACAGGGGTGTGTGTGTGTGTGTGGGGGGGGGGGGTGTGCACCTCTCAGTAGCGCTGGAATGTGGTGGAAGGATTCCTGTGGGGTTAAACAGAGATACTATATAGGCACCCTCCCAACCCAAGGGAGCCTCTCAAATAAGCCACGTTGACACATTCGGCACTGCACACACCAGGCACTGAGCAGGCCTAAGTTGGCGCATTAACCCTTGGCTGTTTGAGATCATCTACTTAAATATTAACTCACCTAATTCCCTTAAGAAGCCTGTGAAGTAGGTGTTACTATTACCTCTAATTTACAGACGCGCCCAAGGCCAGGCCTCTTGTCCAAGGTTAAATAGCTGGCACATAGAGGGTCTGCCCCCAACAAATGACACAAAAAACCATTAAGAGTTTAGTCTATAGGGTCCTCCCTGGTGGCGCAGGGGTTAATAAGCCAGCCCTATCAAACTGTCGCCAGCCACTGCAGCCTGAGTTCCATCCCCAGCCAGGGAGCTAACCGACATGGTGCAGCAGACCTCTCCGGTCAGCCCTGCTGCTCCCCTCAGCATGTCAGTCAGTCCTCTTTTTCTGTTCCCCGCTCTGTCTCTGGCGAATGCTCTCACCCCCTGCACCTTTGTCCTGTACCCCAGTTCTTCCATGCATAAATAAATACATCTAAAAAAAAGAGTTTACCCTGTAAGTCAATGTGCTAAACTCTTTCTATGCAGTATCTCATTTAATCCTCAAATAACTTCAAAGTGTAGTTACTATTATTTATCCTAATTTTATAGCTAAGTAAACTGAGGCACAGAGAGGTTAAAAAACTGACCCAGTAATAAACAAAAGAAAAGCAAGAAGAGGAAGTGGGTCAGGTTAGGTCATCCCTGGAGGGGAAATAGGAAGTTGGAGAGGTCAGGACACCTCCACCCCCCTCCCTGCTCCGGGAAGCTCCTCCTAGCTCCACCCAGCAAAATTGGGTGTGGCAGATACGAGCCCCTTGGGAGACCCTATCTGCAATGGAATTCTCAGTTCCTCCCCAGGGTGGCCTTTGTCTTTCAAGGGAGAGCGCCCAGGCTGGGGCGCTGGGCGAAGGGGGGAGGGCCGAGGCCTTCAGATCCAGGTGAGCTGAAGGGCCCAGCTATGACTTCTCGCAGAGGAGCGGTCATGTCCAGCTGCCCCCAGTCCCGGGCTGCACAGATGGGCCTAATTCACCTGCTTTACAGAGGCGAGGACTGAGGCCCTGGGACCTGGGGTCATGAGCTAAGCCAGGCAGTGGCTGAGTGTCCACCACAGAAGTAGCCCCGACCTTTAAGCCAAAAGGTGCCCATGGCCCCACCGGAGGTGCCACCGTCAACCTTAGCACCCGGCGAAGTTCTTAGCAGCATTCCCCGGGGCCCAGCTCCCATGCGGAGTCTCCTCGATCCCCCAAGCTTCCCAGGACTCCCTGGGGGCCGGGCGGGGGCGCAAACCTCAGCCCAGAGCAGCGTCTGAGTGTGGGGTGGCCAGGACGGGGTGGCCGGCACAAAGCGACACGAGGAGCTCTCGAAAGCTGGTTCCGACGCCGGTTCCTTTTAGTTACTCTCAGGGGTGCCTGCCCCGCGCCACCACCCTCCCCATATCCCGCAGGCCATGTGCACCCCAGCACCAGGCCAGGCAAGAGCTGGCCCAAAGGTCGCTGTCCCTGGACCTGCCAGGGGGGCGGGGGAGGGGATCCCGCGCATCCCCAGTCTAGGCGGACGATCAGCTGTCAGGCGGCGGCGGGCGCGCGGGTGGCCTGTGCACCCCAGCCCTCAGGGCCCCTCGGGGCGCGGCGGGGCGCGGGGGAGGGCGCAGCGGGGCGCAGGGCAGGGCGCGGGGCAGGGCGCGCAGCGGGGCGCAGCGGGGCGCAGGGCGGGCTCGGCGGAGCGCGCCGCAGGGCGCCTCGGGGCCAGGGTAGGGCGCACGGCGGGGTCAGGGCGCGGAGCAGACGCGGCGGGGCGCGGGGAGGGCGCGAGGGGCGCCGGCGGAGCTGCGGGCTGGCGGGGGCGGCGGGCACACGCGCCGGCGTGCAGACTGCAGGGGCCGCGGGCGGGGGCCCCGTCCGCAGCGCCGTCGGCCGAGCCCGGACGGGGGGCCGAGCTCCCCGCGCCGCCCGGGCTGGCTTCCCGGCGGGCGAGCCTGGGCTCAGCCGGGCGGCGGCCCCGCGGGGCTCCGCGCAGAGCTGGGTCCGGCCCCGGCCGCGGCTCCCCCGGGACTGAGCCGGGGCGCCCCGGGGGCGCGGCGCGGGCGGCGGGCGCCCGCCCCGGACTTACCTGGCGGGGTCCCCGCGCGCGGGCTCCCCCGCCGGCCGGATCATGCCGCCGGCGGCTCGGACGCGCTGCGCTCAGGCTCGGGGCGGCGGGGCCCGCGGCGCCCCGGGCGCCCGCATCCCGGTCGGGGCGCTGCCGGCGAGGGAAGCCCGGGCGGGCCGGCGCGCGTCCACTTCCTGTGGCGCCGGAGCGGGGCGCTCAGGAAGAGGCTGGCCCTGGTGGTCAGGGGGTGTCGAGCGTCTCGGCGGCGGCCGGGCCCGGGGCACGCGGAAGCCGGGCGGCCGCGCCCCCGGGGCCGGGCCTGGGGCGGGCGGTGCCGGCGGGGCGCGGCGCGGGGGCGACCCCGCGGCTCGGGGCGCCCCGAAGGGACACTCGGGGGAAGGCGCGGGCCGGCCAGGGCCCCCGGGCGGAGGGCGGCAGGTGGGGAGGCCCGCGCGCCTCCCGCCCGGGGAACCTCGAAATTGCCCCAGAGCGGCCTCAGCCCGGGCAGGGCGCCTCCTCCTCGTCCCGGCCAGCGGAGGCTCTGCCGTCCCTTGACGGCCTCCAGGGCGGCCGGCGCGCTGCCTTGAGGGAAACCCACGAAGCCCGGCACCTGGCGCGGCTGTGACACTCACCTGTGAGCAGCGGGAGGCTCACAGCGCCCCAGCCCCCCGGGGCCCCCCCCCCCGAGGCCGCTCTTCCCAGGGCCTGGGACCCCAAATGCTTCCTGAGCCGGGGCTGCCCCTGGGCATTGCAGGATGACTGCGCAGGACTGGACGCCAAGGGGCCACCTCAGTCCAACATGTTTCCCAACCTTGGTACTCTTGACCTTGGAGGCCAGAGGATTCCCTGTGGTTGGAGCCACGCCCGCCCCTCTCTTGCGGGATGTCCAGCCACACCCGTGGCCTCAGCCCGCTGGATCCAGGTGGCCGCGCCCTCTCTGGGTAACAACAAAAGTATCTCCAGCCATTGCTGGAATTTTACAGATAAGGGGACAGGGGAGTCGCTAGGCAGAGGCCACACGGCGGGTGGACGCCCGACGGGACTGGAGGTCGGGGCTTTGGTCAGAGCATCCCCAGGCCTCTGCCCTGCCTGCCTCTGCCCTGCTGCCACCCCCACTCCCCAACCTTCCTGGCGTTTCCTCCAAACCAGCTTGGCAGGTGTGAGGAAAGGCTCCTCATCTGGACACACAGCCAAGCGCAGCTGCCCCCTGGGAAAGTCGAATGGGGAAGCCGCTTTAGAAACAGTCTGGCTGTTCCTCAAAGGGTGGGACACAGAGTCAGCACGTGACCCGGCCACCCCCCTCCTGGGCACACCGCTGAAGGGGACGAAAATCTCTGTCCACACAGAAACTAGTACCCGATGGATCCTGGCAGCTTTATTTGTAATAACCAAAGGTGGAGACAACCCAAACATGCACCGCTAATGAGCAGGTAGGCGGGCTGTGGCCTGTCCGTGCAAGGCGCTACTCTGAGGCCATAAGAAGGCATGGGACCCTGGCACCTGCTGCGACATGGAAGGACCCAGGAAGCATGATGCTGAATGAGAGACACCAGACTCAGGGGCACGCGCGGTCAGAGTCTAGTCATACAGTGTCCAGAGCAGGCAAGTCTAGAAACAGAAAGTAAATTGGTTAAAGGCTGGGGCCCAGGAATGACTGGTAATGGAGGGTTTTGGGGTGTGGTGTGAAGATGTTCTCAAATTTATGGTGGAGATAGTTGTACAACGTTGTGACTGTACTGAAAACTGTTGAACTGTGCACTTTAAGTGGATGGATTGTATGGTATGTGAATTATATCTGAATTAAAATATTATTTTAAAAATACAGCCCCCAGGAGGCCACTCTGATGTTCTCCACACCACTCCCCAATGACCATACCACTACAGACTCCCCTCCTTAGGGGGTAATCATGCCCTGCTGACCTTTCTTCTCCTCCAGAGGCTGAATTTTCACCTCCCTGAAGGGGGTCACTTTGCCACACCCCTCTGGACAGGACTGCAGCTCCCTCTTTGAAAACGCAGGTCCTTGTAGGCGGGTGTGGACTATGAGTAACCCCATTCTTCAATGCCTCCCACCCCCACAAAATTTCCGGGTCCCTGCACCACTGCTAAGAAACTCAGGACTAGCCCCTCAAAGCCTGGGTTCCATGAGGCCAACCCCAAGGCTCTCCCCAGGTCCCCAGTGAGGCCTCCATAAGGCGCATGTGCACCTGCTCCAGGAGGACAGAATTGCTCAGGGGCACCCCAGATGAGGCCTGACCTGCCCTAGAGGCTGGTGACTAGAGGCTGGAAGAGGATTTTGCTAAGATTCCAGAAATCTGAGCACCCCTTTTAGCTTGTGACCTGTCCCCATGCAGCATGATGCCAAGCTTGCCCTCTGCCCCCTTCCTGGGGGCCCTTTGCATGCCCAAGTCCTCAGTCTCCCAGTTTTCTGGCTGCGCCTGGATCTCGGGACTACAGCTGGGAAGTGATATCTGCTGCTGATGGGGCCTACAAGCTCCTTTCCCTTCCCTGGCCTTTTTGGGTAACAATACCCATTTTCCCTTGAAGGAGCCAGGCCTCCCCAGTTCTGTTCAGGTGGAGACAACAACCCCAACCTTCCTTTTAGTGGGAGCACGTGATTCTAGTCAGAGCCCTGCACTTACTGGGCACAGTCATTGTTTCAAGGGTGATCACATGAAACAAGCTGGGCCAGTAAGATCCCTCCCTGGGACTTTCTGTTGGGCTCTTTCAGGGAATATTAACCTCTCCCCCAATATCCACCCCAAGCTGATACACTGGGGGAGTATAAATTTGGGGGAGCCAATAACCACATGGGCACCATGTGGTAAAATTGTATTAAAGAAGAAAACCAAAATGGAGGAAAGCAATGAAGGCTGTGCCCTGGAAACATCCTCTGAGGTCCAAATTCTGACACCCTGGCTGCACCATTCACCATTCATCAGTTTAAAGAACTAACACAGATCTTGATTTTTTCCTTATTTTTTTAAAAAAACTCAAACATATCTGACTCACCCAAAGACTCCTGGTTGCCTTTGATTGCAGCCCCTCTGCCATATTTCATTCCTCCTGGCCCAGAGACTGTCCAGTTGGTGGTACTAAGGGCATGAAAGGGTAAGGGCTGGCCCCATGGAATTCCAGGCACCCCATGATATAAGAGACTGGTTTGCATCTCTGGGGTCTTCCTGGGGTGGCTGTCACCCCCACATACTCTTCCACCTCCTCCCTCCACATGAGTGAAGGTCAAGAAAGTCAATCCTGAGGAGGAATGCGGGAATTTTTAGGGGAGCTCCCCTTCAGAAAGTCAACTCCAAGCATCACTGGAGTTTCTGGGGATTATTATGAAGAAAAAAAAAAATCTCATAGCACAACTGTTTTTCAAAGGCCTCCTCACACCTTCCAACTTGGCTCTGAGTTGAATAAGAACCTTTGGAGACATAGTATGTTCTGTCAATAGAAATTTCCCTGCCCTACCGAGCAGTGTATGAGGACAGGGGCTGGAGTCAGGGCAGCATTCGAATCCCAGCTCTGCCCCCTAGTGGCTGCGTCACCCTGGCCGGGGACTTTGCCTCCGTGCCTCGGTCTCCTCATCTGTGAGATGGGATAATTCCAGGGCTGCGAGGGTTGCCCCAGCTAATGTGGGAAGGGGGTTGGAACAGAGCCTGAAGTGAGTGTCACTTATTTCCACTGTGACTAAGGCCTTACGGTAGCAGTCAGGCCTCAAAGGACACATGACACTTCTGACCAGCGTCACTCGAGGGGCATTAGTAGATGTGTCGGCTTCCCCGACCCAGGTGAGGAGCAGGGCTGATGACCAGACCTGAAAGGACAGCGTCCTGTCCTGTGGAAAGACCACCAGAGGACAGGAGCAGGGCCGCCCAGCGCAGGCCGCAGCCAGCTCACGGCGACCCTGGGGGCTGGAAAATAAAGGCTCTGACTGTCCCTCCTCCCGCCAGTGTCCTGCAGTGGTCCCCAATCACCAAAGCCAGCTGTTAGCCCGAGGGCTGGGGCACCCACTGGTCAGTCCCTGTGGGTGTGCACGTCTCATAGGTCAGTCCCTTAGGGTGTAGAGAAGGGTTGGGGGGAGGTCAAGAGAGCAAAGCTGTGGAGTCAGCTCGACTGGGCTCAAACCCTACAAGGCCTCTGCTTGGGAGCTTGGGCACATCAGGCGAGGGCCTGGGCTTGTGGCAGAAGCCTTCGGGATCCTCAGCCCAGCCCATCTGCTCGCTGAATGCCAGGCCGTGACCTCTGCCACGTCACAAACGCAGGAGAACGGCTGAGCCGGCGCTGACGGGTAAAGCTGCACCTGTGATACGGTGGTTGCTGTTCAGGATATTGGGTTTTGCAAAAGTAGACACAGAAAGCAGCTCTTCTGTGACTTTTTTTCTATCTTCTGACCTCCAACAGGCCCTGACATCTCCATTTCCTGTTACTTTTGAGAAATCTTACGGGGGTATTATGATGGCGAGATCCGTGTCCTCAGGTGTGGGATGGGAACCGAATGCCTGCGCTGTTGGGGGAAGCAGTAAGGCGTCCACGAACCAGGTCTGGGGCCAGGGCAACCCCTTCTCTGCTGCCCAGCAGGAATGAGGGCCTGGGCCTACAAGACACCCCCCAACCCCCACACCTTTGTTTTTAGGAAACGCAGGAAGTCTGGATTTCACAGCACAGTTTCCGAGTTCTAAATCATTGTATTCACTGAGCATGTACTTCCGAGGGCCTGGTTTGGGGTGTGACGGGCCCTCCTTGTGCTGAGATTGCTTGTCTCAGGGAGTGTGGCTGGCACAGGCATGGATGTGTCTTGTGGAACTGGGGTGTTCAGAGATCCCCCAGGTTTGGAGGGGTCGGGCCCCGACAGACACGCACTGGGTCTCTCCCCTGGGGTGGGGCGGGTCCCATGGCACTGCTCTCTGCCTCATTGTCTTCTCTGCAAGTCCCATCTTTCTTCCCTCCTCTCTGAAGACAGATCACCCCACAAGCCCCAAATCTGTAAGTCTGTGTCACAGCTGTGTAGAGACCAGTGAGGGTCCCGTAGTCCCCATTCCTAATTCTCTAGAGTGATAATCAG